TATGCAAAGAACATGATTATACTATTATACGAGTAACATTATACCATTGTCATGTAAAATGAACGAATAGAAGTGACCATCGAGATAAGACACACAACTAACTACAATCATATCTTTATTTTTATCTAGAATCTATATGATATGATCTTCATATAATATTTTATTCAAATATTAATTAAATCAATTTATTTTTTCATGAATGTTTATTATTGTTTCATAAATGGCATTCTCCAAAAAAAACGAGAGGGATAATTAACGATCCGACGATTCTGAGCAATGAAGAAAAAGATCACTTTCCAAATTATCTTTTTCCATATGTGATAAATGATTTTATAAATCATCATATGAAAATTGTAACAACTCATCAACAGAAAAAACAGAAAGAAATTCTTATTTATAAAATTAACAATGAATTTTTTTTATCTCAATTATTAGAAAAATAATAACGATGAATATATTATTTATATTTTATATTATTTATATTAATAATAATAAATATTTTAAAAAAATGTCTTAAATTCTTTTCATCAAAAAAACATTTCCCAACTATATTTTCGTATTAATTTCTATGAATCTCTATATTTATATCAATATCTATTATATGGAAAAAATAAAAAAAATTGGCCAGTAACAATAATAATTTTTCTAAGATAAATATTTTTTTAATTTTTTATGATAAAAGAATCAGACAAATTCTATATCAAAATTAATAATTTATAATATTAAATCTAATACTATCATTATATTTATATTCTAAAATAATATTTAAAAAATATTTTTAATAAATAATTTCTTTTTATATAAAATTTATACGATAAAACTATATTCGCAATCTTCGAACACCATTGGCATGTTTGAAGACGTAGGAACGTTCTCGACGACGACGTCGCCAACGCCAAAACCTCTCAAAATAGCCGCCATTGATTCCCTCTCGCCATTCCAAAGCAAGAACCATTCGATCCAGAATAATCTGTCTATTCGATCTATGATACTTATCACACACCCGTTATATTATGTTCACATAATCATAAATCGCTAAAATTGTTATGATTTGAAATCTATTATATATATATATATATATATATATATATATATATATAGTGAAGAACATGAACAAAATGCATCTTTGTATTAAAAAAAGCATATTTTTTGCTAGAATGATCTTATCCAACCAATCAATGAAACGTTTTATTGTTGAAAACAGAAAAGGATCTATGGCGAGGCAAATAAGTGGTAAATCATTTTCCCGGCACGAGGGGCGTTTAGCAACAAACATGTTATTTCTGGGTCCTTTGCCGAGTCTGTCTGCGCTTCTGAAAAGCCAACGATATCCCAATGTATGAGTGAATGTGTTCGCGACGATAAAACTTGCGAAACTTACCGCACGTATACCATATTGATTTCATTTCAGTCCGTAAACGGGAATACGTCGTTATCTCTTCACCCTCAAAAAGGGCATTTAATGCAATTGGGGTGATTTTAATAGCATGCTCCTATATGCTTCTATGAATATAGCTTCTTCCAAGAATAGTGAGTGAAAAACGAATAGATTCTTTTTAAATAATACATATTATAAGATTTTTGATTATATATTTGATAGATTAGTGTTTTGGTTAAATCAATTGGTTTTTAAGTATATAATCAATGTCATGTTAATACAATAAATATATCATTTGAAATTTCTTTTTAGTAATTGAGTCATATTCGTTCATATTATATTATTAAATTTTTTATATTTTGATCATGAAAGTGATCAAAAATTTGTTTAACATTTTTTTATTATTATTTCTTCTTTCAGCTAAATCTTAAAATTTTATAAATTTTGAAAAAATTAAGCTATCATATTATTATCATAAATTATTTTGATACATTATTAATTTAATTATTTATATCTATTTCGATTCATTCATTATATTGATCAAGGTTAAATAAAATAAAGGCATATGAGAGAAGAAAAAAATCCATGATCAAATTATTTAAATTTTTTTTGTCTTTTTACTTAATTTCTCTTTGTATAAATAATTTTATAATTTCATTAACTAAATGATTTCATTAATTTTATATGAATAAAAAAATTTTTCAAACTAATAAAAAAGTAAATTAATTGTAAAAACAAAAATTTCCCACATTTTAATCGTAAATAAGTTCTAAGCCAAATCTTTTAATCATTTTTATTCAAATGATAATAAAAAATATAATAAATTTATTAATATAAATTTAATAAATATTTCTTATTTTCTATCTGATTATTGTAATTTTTTTTATAAGATATAAAACGATATAAGAATAAGACAATAAAAATAAAACAAAATAATAAAAATATTGAATGAAAATTCTTCGATTGTTTATAAAATGAATAAATAAATACTATTAATTAAAATATTGAATTAATCTTATTTTTTATTGGCCATGGAGATAATATGAGTAATTTATTTTTTCATTTATTTTATTCTATTCAAAATAAAAAATAGAATAGAGAAAAAAAGAAAAGAAGAAGGGAAAAAGAGAATGATAGAGAAAAAAGGAAAGAGACAGAAATGTAATATATAATTTTTAATATTTGTTTAAATCAATATTGAAAATATATTGAACAAAAATTTTTAATGTATAAAATATAAAAATAAATTTTAATTCTCTATAATATATATATATATATATATATATCATTGCAATTTATCCATACTATTATAATTTTATCGTTTTTATAAATTTCTTCTTTTTAAGTATCGGAATTTTAAAGTATATTTTCCTTTCGTATCATTTTGTATTTTATATAATAAAATTTTAACTTTTTTTATTAATAAGAAAATAATACATGTATATATATACATGTATTATTTTCTTATATATATATATATATATATATATATATATATTTTATACTATAATACTCAATAAAATAATCTTAATTATTAAAGGATTATAAAAATATATGACCGTTAATTAAACTTGTTTATATGAAGATCACAGTTTGAATGTTATTAAAAATATAAAAATATCAAAAAAAAAAATACTTAAAATAAAAATTTTTAACAAATAAATACTTTAATATCAATTTAAACATTGAAATAATATACTAAGAAAAAAATCACGATAAAATAATTAAAAAGTTTTCAGGATGTTGACACAGTTTTAACAATCACAATATTGCCATGAATTATAATAATTGGCTCATTGACAATGCAGAACAGGTGATTTAGTACAATGAATAATAAATTTTGCAATATAAAAAATTTGAATTATATAATGAAATTAAATAATGACATTATAAAAGAATTATAAAAGAAAAAATATAATAAGTTAATCCTAAAGTAAATATTTAACATGCAGTTTTAATGATAAAATATATTTAATGCAAGTATTATTCTATCGAAAAATATCTTATTCATTCTATGTTTACATTCTTTCGCATTTTTATTATATCGCGACATATTTCATCGGATATCGGTAGCCAATAAACACAATTTTTTTACTTCTTTGTCCTCTGAAAATGTCGGCATTGCGACAAGAATAACCGGCAAGCAGTGAAAACTAAATACATGCCGGTGAAACTACGTAGAAATTGGGCCACTCTATAAATAAAGAATTTTTGTACAACATTCAATCGAAATGAATGCAAGAAGGAACATATATTTTTCGATATTTCGAAATTTAAGACAAATATAATAAAATATAATATTTTAAAAATCATTTTCGGTTTATCATTACCTTACATTATCTAATTTACATTATCTAATAAAATAATAAAAAAAGTAACTTTAGAATAATAAAAATTCATAAAAACAAATGATTTTCAGACTTACATTCTTATTTGGAAAAAATCATTCGAAAAATTTTTTAACAACAATTATATTCCTATATATAAAACTCAATTTTAATATATATAGAAAAAAGAAACTCACCCTTGAGAAAGCGGAATGTCGTTCAAAGGAATCCCGTCCTAATCTATTAGTAGGCTCGAAGAAAGACTTGTTATCTTCATCGAATTGTTGTTTAATCTCTTGCAGAAGTTCGTCGCCAGATTTACCACGTAATCTATCGCTGAATTTCGGTCTGTCACGAAAATAAAAAGACATCGTTGTATATTTGCACACGAGAATTTCATGCACAATTTAAACGTTGCACTTGATGTCTTTTAGCCAATAAAATATAGCAAATTTAATTTAAAATAATTTCTTTTTCTCGTAACAATCACGAAATAATTTTTCGCATCACTCCCCTACGAAGTGATGCGCGTGACTGAAAGCTCGCGCCGAATCATCGCGAAAATAATCAAAGAGCGCGCAAGCGCACATCATTTCGTGTAATCGTATATTTTCGGCGCGAAACGTATGCTTATTGGTTTATTTTCGATTGTTGACCAATCACAAAATCGTCATCGATTTATCTTAAACTATTCAATATTCTTGATAGATGTTCCAATTGTAACAATTGGCTTGCTTGAATCTAAATTTAATTGGCAGCTATTTAAGTTTTATATATTTTTTTATTTATAAATCATCACCGGAATAATTCATGTAATATTTTTGTTTATTGCAATGCAATCAACCATAGTATTAGAAAAAATTGTTTCATTTTATATAATAATCGAAAAATAAATAACAATTATTTTCCTTTATTATTATTTATATTATGAAATAGTTAGTAATTTATTATAATTATAATTTTGAATTATAAATACAAATTTGTTTTATTTTGCCTTATTTATAATTTTTATGTTGATTTTAATTATATAATAATAATGTAATAATATAGATATAAAAATGTTAGATAAACTTTATTTACAAAAAATAATTAAAGTATTTTTAAAATTGAAAATTATTTTTATATAGTCTTTGTATAGTTTTTATATCAAATAATATTTTTATTTTATATTTATTTGTATATTTGATTTCATACATTGTCATTATCGATATATATTTATCCTCACGTGGATGTTTGAACATTATATCCAATAGATCTCATCATGTAAATTATAATAAATCAATGTAATTTGTTATATAACTTATAAAAAGTTTTATTATATCGTAATTGTTACATTCATATATCACTAAATATTATCGTTTATAATTCTTTTGATTTTTTTTTATGAGAATTTATATAACCTCATATGTTCAATCTTCAAAAGGTAAATCTTCAATTCTATTATTTTTTGAATAATTTTTATATTCAAAAATATTTAAAATATTAATTTTATTAATAAGTGCTCAAGAACCTTATTATATTGCATTGTAAATATGTTATTTTATTTTTAGATTTTATATATAGTTTACATCATTCATCATTTTTTTATGAAAATATAATTAAAAGAATAAAAAATAAAAAAAATGTCTCTATTTTACCAATGTATTATTTGTCAGCATGAACATAATACTGTAATTGATTTACACAATCATCATATTCAACATCATAATCTAGAAGAATTATCGCATACCATCATTAGTCTTCAGGGCTATAAAGATTGGAAAAATATAAAATTCAAAAAAAAATATTTAAAATCTATAAATTTAGGAGATGACAATAATAATGAAAATATATATAATCATCTTTTTATTAAACCTAAACCACAAAATAGAAATATGTGTAAAGAAAAACAAAAAACAAATTCATCAAGAAAATTTAATCATGATAATATAACTTGTTCAATAAATTGTAGTCAATTTATTCCTTGGGAGCGTGAATTAAATAAAAGAAAAGAGATAAATGATGAAGAATTTATCAATATTATTGAAAGTCTTTGTTATGATTTAAGTAAAAGGAAACGTAGAGGAAGAAAAAAAAAAGATAAAACAGCTATAGAAAAGATAAATTCAAAAGATTTAATGCAACATGTGGAAACTATTATAGAAATGGAGAATAAATCTATAGATATTAAATCTGGTCAAACAGCAACAACATCATTTTGGAATACCAAAAATTCAATCACTAATAATACTGTTAATAATAAATTTCTTACATCACAAATTAAAAATAAAATAGAGGACATTAGAAATAATGAGATTACAACATTGGAATTAATTAATATTAACAAAGATGAAAATGTTTCAAAGCACTATTCATCATGTAATAATATTTCTTGGAATTCTATTATTTGTATGAATGTTAATGAACAAGAAGTACTTGTTGAAGAAACAAATGTGTATCCTGATTCAGTAGAAATCGACATTAAAAATTTTCTTTAAAAAAAAAAAAATATTGCATAAGAACATATTGCAACAAACAATATAAAGACTGAATTAAGTACAAAAAAACAAATAATTTTTTTTTACATTCTTGAATTCAAATAATTTCTTAAATTATAAAAATTAAATATATTAATTTTAAGATTTGAATTGATATAATAAGATAGTAAACAAAAAATATTTTATTTTTTTTATTAATAAAAACAATATTTGATATAAATAAGCATAAAAAATTTATATAATAATTTTAATATGCTTCTTTATGCTAAATACATAAATATTTATTCTATTCATTTTATTTTATATTACTTAAATAAGAAAACAATATATGAACATTTTTTTTATTCTTATTATTTAAATTCTATAAGAAAAAATTACATTGCAAATTTATCTCTATGTTAATAAAAAAAAGGAACTTATGATAAAATCTTATTTCAATTATAAAATTATAATTAAAATAAAAATAACATATAATGTATATGATATATAATTCATAAAATTTTAACTTTACAATTACAACAAGTAATAGAAAAATAAAAAACTGCATACCATGTTCATATAGAAGATTTGAATTCTTATTCAATGTATAAGGCACGTTATTATATAATTAATAACAATCCATTGAATTAACATTTTCTTGTTTATACACTGTTAATATATCATCCAACACTGATTCAAAACTGGTGGTATATGTAGTTAACCATCGTTCTTTTTCACCAATGTAAGCATCAATATCTAAGTTAAAGATAGTTTGGAGAAAAATTTGTCTAGTTATACAGGAAATATATTGAAATGTTTTCTCTTCTGATTTTTGCGTTTTACTATCAACTTTCATTGAATTTTTATAGATAGAAATAAGTAGATTTGCATCATTAGCATGTACAATTTCTTCGATTATATTACTAGAATTACTAAGCATCTCACAGTTGGAATCTGTAATGCTGTCCGATGATTCGTATTTAACATAACAAGTATCTAATGTGGCACTATCTTTGGGCAGAGGCAATGCTGGTAAAGGCTCATTAAGTTTGTACTTCAAGAGGAATGTTTTTAATTTATTTGTTATATATGCTGATGTTTTGCATACTTCAAAATCGCTATCTTCTAAAGTAACTAGAAGAACCTAAAATTTAACATAAAATAATCATTAATTATATATGAAATATATTATATACTTACTCCCAAGCAATTTTGTTTCATTAGTTCATCTAATGCTTTATTGAGTCTTCGTTTTATTTCAGTTTCATTCAAAGATACAATTTTCCTATGTTCTTTTGAAAATGTTACTTTCGGAAAATGACCATCAAGTACACCTTGATCAGACAAGTGTGATTTTATAACATGTTTCCAAAATTTAAGAGCGCTTATTTTTACTTCCCAATGAAGATCAAGTACAGCAGCTTTTATCATTGCTAGTGTCATAGCATCGATAATATCTTTCCTACAGAATAATCATATCAATATTGATATTTATAGACAGTAAGATCCTATACTTACGACCATTTACGATATATATATAATTCCTTTATTAAAATTACAACTTCTTTTCTAACTATAGCTTCACTTTCATTATTAAACAATATTATTGCTGTATTCTAAAATAAAATTATATAGTTTTATTTGTAAACATCAATTGAGAATTAAATATTTTTTAATTATACATACAGATAAATCAAATTGCGATAATTTTTCATTCCACAATTTATTTATTCGAACACTAGTCGAAATAAAAATTAAAGCAGATGCACGAACGTAACTTTCACTGTCTGTTCTAGCAATTTCAACTGCTAATTGCAAAAACTCATTTGCCACTAAAAATTCTTGGAATGCCGGATATTCTGCAAATATTTATACATATTATACATGCATAAGTATATTTATAATAATTACTTACTGTCTTCTGAAATTATAGCTATTGTATTTAAAACTTCCAATACACTATCTCTTACTTCCCAATTTATATCATGTAATCTTTTAAATAATGTTGGTCCAATTTCATTCATATGACTATCTGTTTCAATTAATAGTACTAAATTAGGTGGCATAAAATTCTGAATTGCCAACTTACATACTTTTAAAGCTTTCACACAAATCTGAAAATAAGACTTTATAATATTTTATGAAATATTTGATGCTAAATAAAATATACCATTGATGATGCCCCAGGATGATTCAAAAGTTCTTGTGCTAATGAAAATAAGCATATAGTTTCTACACATTCTTGCCATTTTAATTTAAATTTCTCCGTCATGACTGCTAAACCATTTAAAAGTGAAGATAACAATGTAGGATGATCGATTATAGGATCTCCTTCCAATGGATACTTATATATTGTTTTTCTTGGTCCATTTTCTAAGTCTGTTGCAATATTTTTATTATCTATAGTTTCATTGTGTGTATTTGGCATACAATTTCTTAATACATGACAGAGTGTTTGAAATACAATAACTGCAATATCCTGATATAAGAATATATATATATATATATATATATATATATACATAACTATATAATATATAACTATATAAACTATATAATATAACTGCAAATAGTTTATTCATAATAATTTATAATATAATAATCTTATTTGTACATACCCTATCCATGATATCTGTTATTTCTAAAAGTATGTCAATAACTACTTTTGAAATCTGTGCTACAGACACATCATTTTTAAGTACAACATTTCTTATATTATATCCTAATCTTTGTACAGCTGTACATGTTACATCACATAATTTAGTAACAAACATATCAAAAAGATCATAATCTTTATATGAATGTCTAATACATAAACCCAAAGGTAAAATCTATTCACAAAAAAAATTTTAATTATTTACAATTACAAAAATGTTAGAAAAATAATACTTACCATTAAACTTATAACTTGATGTTCAAATTTATGTTCTTGATTAAAAACAAATTTATGCAAAGATTGTAACTTTTTCCAATATATCATTAATAGTTTATTTGTTTTTACTAATTCTATTATATATACTTTTGAAAGAAGCATCAGAGATATATAATTTAAATCACTATAGAACTTTTGTGATGTTTCAATATCTATAGTTTTTTCTTCTCTAATGAATCGTTTAAATGGAATAAATAAACACAAAATTAATAATTTATGAATATGTGATAAAAGTTTTGTACTAATACATGCTTCAAATAGAGCTTTCACTTTCATTTCTAAATCAATAATTTCTTGACATAATTCAGCTATCATATTATCTATGTCTGTAAACAATGTATTTTCGACAATATTGGTTAATAAATCTAATGTGGTACATAATAATTTATTTTGTTCTAAATAATTATCTTGTAGTACTTTATATTCTTGAGTTTTAAAATTATTAGTTATCAATGGTGCAGCCACTGTTAAAATAATTTCTTTACAAAAATCAATATTTTGTTGTTCATATGATAATAAAAGCCATAAAAACTTATGACTTTCATGAGTGACATATAAAGTATGATTCCGATGAGCATATTTTATCACATCTTTCCAAATATCTATAAAATATATATTTAAAAATATATATATAAAATATATATTTAATATATATAAAAATTATATTACTCACTAGAATCAATAATCCATTGTCTGCCACTTCTATGTTTAATCAAGTCCAATAACATTGTGATATAAGCCATTTTAATAGACACTGGCAAATCATCTTTACGTAAATTAAAAATAATACATATTCTATTATATACATCTTTAGATTGCCAATAGTGAAAACTTAATTCATTATGTGAAACTATTCCTATTAGTTTTAAAGTAAATATAATTATAGGTTGTGAGGGAAGACATTCAAAATTCCATATATTTAATGCCTTTAACACCCATTTTTGAAATAATTCACAATTTTCATAATTAGTTGTGTCATCTGAAATTTAATAAAATATGTAATAAAACATGAGTCATATTTAAATAGAATAAAATACAATGTAATAAATTAAAATGAATATAATAAAGATTATATATAAAAACAAATTTTTTATAATAATTTTACAGTAAATAATAATAATGGCATTTGAAATTTTCTTACGTTCTTTAATATCTTTAGAAATATGAGATAATAAAAGATCGAGATAGGTAGTAGATACGATGTTATAATTAGGTAATAGAAATAGTTCTAAAACTTCGGATAATTTTTCATTTTTATGTAACGAAGACATGTTTTCGTATTAAATTTTTATATTTGTGCACACAAAATGTTTTTCTACTTTTTTTTCATATTTTTTATCTGATAATAATTTAAAATATGCATATGACTTTATTATCCATTGCTTTGAACAGTAAATATAATTTCTAACACCCGCATATTTTCTACGTTTTATAATTCACAAATCGGGTGTGTAAATAAAAACTTGAATCCTTAAACGTTCTATAGATAACCAATACTTGTATGAATTAGAATAAAGTACCATTTTCAACAAACTTAAAAAGATAATCAATCAGTTTCTTTTTTAGCGGTCTTTTTAAATTAATAGTAATACATATATCTCTAATTTATTACAAAATAATATTATATATTGTATTTTAAATAAATTAGATATAGATTTTAATTTGTCTTTTTATATTATATTACTTTTCTTTAATGTTATAATATTTTATTTAAAAATAATAACCATACAATAAAAAAATTTTTATATTGAATGAATTTTTAGTTATAATAAATTTTTATTACATGTTTAATGTAATATTTTATAATATAAATTTTTATAATAAAATAAATTATTAAAACATTTTAAAATATTTATATATTAAATATTTTATACTTAATATACAATATATACATAAGAAACTATCGAGGTTGACAACCTTTAATGTTAGAAATTTATATATTCAGCATATTCTTTCAGTTTAGTAACATATTCACCTATTTACAAGTAATGTTTATTTATCATTTCTGTGCAATAAAAATGTATTTATAGTATAAATAAAGAATATTGTGTTATATTAATAGTTGTGATGAAACAAAAATTTAATAGAATTTTTGCTAAATTTATTCTAATAACAAATGTATTTAATTAAATATATATCATCTTAAAAAAATTATAAATTTTTATTTTTATTATAATATAATATATGTTTATTAATTTATACTAAAAAAATATTATTCGTAAGTCAATTTATCAAAATTATTATTCATATTAAATTATAATTTTTTATTTGTTAAATTTATTAAAATCGTATCAGATATTTTTCTTCATTTCCAAAATCTAATTTTTTTTATATTATGTTTATTCGAAATACAAAACACAATCTTAATTAATTATTATATTGTCATATTTAATTTGTTATAATAATCTCTGCTTATCTTTCATTTGACATTTATGAGTTTTATCTTCATACAATGGATCATGAATCATTTATTTTTTTATATCTATCATTTAATTTTAAATTTTAGTAATATATATAATTTAAAAGTTTTTAATGTTATTATGATATTAATAAATATTTATGATATAAAACTTTAAAAGTTTATAATCAATAATTTTTTAAATTAATATATATTTATAATTTTTTTTTTATAAATTAATGTGTATATATATATATATATATATATATATTTATAATTTTTTTTTTATAAATTAATGTATATATATATATATATAGCTATTTAAAATATAACTTAATTTATATATTTATATAAAATATAACTTAATTATATTTATTACATTAAAATAAATTTTTGTGTTTTTGTTAAAATATTAGATTTGATATATAAAAAATATTAAATGTAATCAGAATTATAAAAACAATTAATCATTTAATAAAAAGCATTTAATAAGAATAGAAAGAATGTTTTGTTATTTGAGATCTATTATCACATTGTTTCATTTTTGCTAAATTAGTAATTTCAAATATAAATTTAACTGTATTTATATCATATTTATTTCCAATTAACTAATATAATTTTAATATAATTATTTTTTATGGATTTATTTTGTTTCTAGAATTTTGTAAATATTAAAAAATGGCATGGACACATTATCAATGTATTCTAGCTATACTTATGGTTGTTACTGGATCTTTCAATACAATATCCGTAAAGTAAATAAATTAATGTATTTATTAAGTTATCAAAATATGTTTAATTACATTTATGTTTTTAATTTAGATATGCAGATGAACAAATTGTACCAGGTGAAGATAATCAGCCAAGACATTTTAATCATCCTTTTATGCAATCAGCTTTTATGTTTATTGGAGAAATGATATGTTTTGTAGTATTTAAAATACTTTATCATTATTACAGTTACAGAGATGTAAGTTTTTTTATTAAATATATATATATTTAAAAATAGATAATATTTAAAATTAAATTTATTATATTAAAGGATAATTCTGTGGATAATAATCCTTTAACCAAAGGTTCACATATATTTAACCCTTTTATTCTATTGATTCCTGCCTTATGTGATACATGTGCTACCTCTATTATGTATATTGGACTGACTATGACATATGCAAGTAGTTTTCAAATGCTTCGTGGTGCTGCAATTATATTTACAGCTATACTTTCAATGGGTTTTCTTAATAGAAAACTAGGTAGAAGAGAATGGATTGGTATAATAATGGTTATAATTGGTTTAGCTCTTGTTGGACTTAGTGATATAACTATGGAAAAATCATATATTAGCACAAATTCTATTTTAACTGGTGATTTACTTATTATATGTGCTCAGGTAATATTACATATTCTCTTATTTTATAATGAAATGAAAATTTGAAAATTAAATATTATTATAGGTCATAACAGCTGCTCAAATGGTAATAGAAGAAAAATTTATAACAGGACAAAATATACCAGCATTGCAAGCAGTTGGATGGGAAGGTATTTTATTATTATTTATGAAATATAAAAATTTAACAATAAATATGATACATAAAAATACATATTCTAACAAAAATATATTTTGTTTAGGTATATTTGGATTCATTACTATATGTATTATAATGATTCCTCTTAACTTTATACATGTTCCACCACCATTTGCTGACAATTCCCAAGGAACTCTTGAAGCCACTCAAGATGCATTTATTCAGATTAAAAATAGTGGTCATTTATTGATGGCAATATGTGGTTAGCATATATATATTATCTTTATTTACAATTATTTACAAATTTATTCTAAAATAATAATAAATATTCTTAAATAATTTTTAGGTATGTCATTTAGCATAGCTTTTTTTAACTTTGCTGGTATTAGTGTTACTAAAGAAATAAGTGCTACCACAAGAATGATTTTAGATAGTATTCGAACAGTTATTATATGGGTTATTTCTTTAGCATTTAGATGGCAAGCTTTTCATTATTTACAGGTAAATAATATTATGTATTAATTGATTTTTATATTTTTTTTTAAATTTTTCTTGTTAATATGAAACTTTATTATTGAATTTTTTAAATTACAAATGAATGCATGTTTATTTAATTTTCAGCTCATTGGTTTCACTATTTTGCTCATTGGAATGTGTTCTTATAATAATATTGTTATTCCTCAATTAATAAGAAAATGTGGATATCGCCTAGGTCGTCATAGACCGCCAGCAAATGATCGTGAACGCATTATTAATACAGCAGCAGACGACGTTTCTGAAACTCAATAATATTTACTTTTAAATATTTAGATATTCATTATTTTATATTATTGAAAATTATTTAATTTTTCTAACAAATAGTAAAAACTATAATTTTTTCAGTTTATTTTATTTGTAAAATTGATTATTATATTTAATAGAATTAACAATTTTATAAAATTAATGAAAATAAATAATACATATATTTTTAAAATATAATAGACAAGACTCATTAATGGAAGTGGAAAACAAAATTCAATATATATATATATATATATATAAATATGATATATATATATATATACAAATATATTATACAAATATGATAAAATTCATAATATACAATTTTTAAATATTTTTTTAAATAATATTTTACATCAGAGTATATATAAATTATATAATTATATATAAATTAGATTTATTTATATAAACCATTTATTTATTTATATAATGAAGAAAGATTAAAGAGTAAAAGAGAATAAATCTGCTCAAATTAACATATATGAATAAATATGTTTTGATTGAAAACTTCAAATTTTTTGTTTATAAAAAATTGATTGCAAAATATAAATAAATTTTAATTTTTATATATACAAGTTTTTTAAAAATTATTTTGAACTGCATATCTTTATCAAAATTTATAAACGTGTGTGTATGTGTGTGTGTATTTGAATTATAATTAATATAAAAATATTTTTCAATTATTGGAATTGTTTCAATTGATCTTTATTACAGAAATTATTAATAGTTTCAAATTTCAAAGTTCTTATGACTGCTATTGAACGAAATGGAGATATTCTATAACTAAATGTGTAAATATATTTTATTATCATAAAACAAATATATTAAGATGTTAACATAAAAAAATATTAAATTATTTTTTCATAAAATAATTTTATTATTTTATAATAAATTTAAAGAATCGAAGAGTAAATTTTTTCTTCTAAATAACTTTTTTTTATTTTATATATTTTACTTTTTTAAAGATCAATATATATATATATACAATAATAAATATATATTAATAATCATTTTTTATTTTATGTTTTATTGTATAATGTTATACAATTAACAAAGAGATATTAAAAGAGAAAAATGGTACTTAAATATTACATAAATTTATTATTGCCTATACTTTACATGTAGTTAATTTGTGCAAAAAAAGTATTAATATACATATATGTAATATGAGTATAAAGCACATATATCTATATATATGTCATATATACACGTACATTCATATGCATGTATTACAAAGTTCTTTAAATAATAATATTGAGATTTCAGAAATTAGAAAAGATTATATTTTGTGCAATTTTGAAAAAATTATAACTATGAAATATATTAATATATTGGTATGAATATATTGTGATTACAAATATTTTTAATTTATATTCCATTTCCTGATCAAATTACAAATGCTTTATGGAATGTTTAAGAATAATTTTTACATATTCATTTAAGTTATTACCATCTTAATTTTACAATCGTGTTTTTATCGAATACAACTTCGACCAGCGATAAGAAACTAAATCTATGATTATTTTCATTTAATATTATAGTAAAATTAATGTCATACATACATAATATTTTTTTCTAATAATTTTTCATAACTATGAGTAAAACATGTATATGACATAATCATCAAAACTATTTAAATTTTTTAAATGAAAATGTAATATTTATTATGCATTCATGCGACAAACGACGTAAATGGAACATGAGTTTAATTATATTGTTCCGGCAATACATAAGAAATATCATCCCAAGGATGTCGATATAAA